AGGAAAGGCTGTTATCGTTCCGGAAAGAAGTGACTTGTGCTCTATCTTAGGATATAAAGAAGTATAAGAGTGAAAAAAAGTAGCCAAAAAAACAACATATTACGTCTGTATGTCTAGTCCTCTACCTCTGTAACTCAAACTAGTTCTGTCTCTTGAGTCTGAAAATGAAAATCCACCTAAGACTGATCCTACACACAGCAAGTTTCTTCTCGGTAGGCCTAGCGTGCCCTGGTGGCTAGGGCACTCGACTCCTAATTTGAGGATTGCGGGTTTGAATCCCACAACCGAACACGTTCGCCCTATCAGTCGTAGGGGAGTTACAACGTGAAGTACAGTTGTTGGTAAAGATTAGGCCCTATAGTTGGCGGTGTGTGGTGATGACTAGCTGCCTTTCCTCTAGTCTATCACCTCAAAATTAGGAATGATTAACGCAGATAGCTCTCGAGTAGCTTTGAGCAAAATTTAACAAAACAGAAACCCAAAGACAAACCAATTCGTAATATAGAATTGCCCCCCCCCCCCCATTGCAACATCTTAAATACTCTGCTAATCATTATAACACAAGTCTACAGAAAAAAGAAGTTTAGAGACGAGTAACTAAGTCAAACCGACTTTTAATTTAGGGTTTCTTTCCAAATTCGTCAAAACCTTGGACCCCCCCCCCCCTCTAGTTAATATGTTAAAGGTCAACCTAGGCCATTAAGGATTTTTTTATGTTCATGCTGTTTTTTGTTTGTTTGTTTTTTCGTCTAAGATTATTAATAGAAGCGAGTTTTAATCACAAGTATGATAAATAACATCATGACGTAATATCATAAGGTTTATCCCTATACTCTCTCTCTTTTTTCACATCTAATTTCAGCAATGTTTCAACCCTAATGTCCTAATCTTAGCAGGATGGGCCATCACTATCCTGGCAAATTTTCCGTCATAGCGGCAACAGATGATTGCTCAAAAATGTCATCACAGGCTCCCATCCTTTCTCTTCCGTCTCCTGTAAACGACGACGTTATACAACAACAACAACAATATCGAATGTTGCCAAAAAACATTCCAACCTCTTAATGAATCGGAGATGAGGTCCTCTAGCCGCTGTTGGCAGTTCTATTAGCCACTGAAAAATGTATGACAACGTAACTTGATGAAGTACGATTGTATAATAACGTAGCTAGTCTGTCGGATAGACACAGATGTAGAAGATAAATCGGTTTGAAGTTTATTTTAAGTTTAGAGATATAGCCGATTGTTGACGCCTGTGTTTGTCTTTCTCGCTGTTTTCTTAACCAAAATGTTCGGGACCGTTTTGAAAGAGTCTCAGTTGAGTGACTAATTTTGTGTTAGTAAAAAAAAAAGGGGGATTACTTCAACTGGCAATATTTAACTTGTCTGAAGAGCTGATATATAATTATCACGCTAACTTTGTTAACGATACATTTGTTGCAGCGTACTTAATTACAATGTGTTTTTATAGATTTTATTTTCTAAAACACATACTTATAGACATCAATACGGTTTGTCAGGATTAGTTGTTTCAGGACTGATAAAGAATTGATTGTTTAAGGATTGGCAGACGATTAGTCACTTTAGAATTTATAAAGGATTAGTCACTTTAGAATTTATAAAGGATTAGTTACTTCAGGATTGATAACGGATTAGTTGTTTCAGGATTGGCAGACGATTAGTCACTTTAGAATTTATAAAGGATTAGTTACTTCAGGATTGATAACGGATTAGTTGTTTCAGGATTGGTAGAGGATTAGTTATTTCAAAATTGATAAACGATTAGTTGTTTAAGGATTAATACAGGATTAGTTGTTGAAGGATTAGTTATTTCAAAATTGATAAACGATTAGTTGTTTAAGGATTAATACAGGATTAGTTGTTGAAGGATTGGTAGAGGATTAGTCATTTCAAAATTGATAAACGATTAGTTGTTTAAGGATTAATAAAGGATTAGTTGTTGAAGGATTGATAAAGGATTAGTTACTTCAGGATTGATAAAGGATTCATTGTTTCAGGATTGCTGAAGGATTAGTTACTTCAGCATGGATAAAGGATTAGTCATTTCAAAATTGATAAACGATTAGTTGTTTAAGGATTAATAAACGATTAGTCATTTCAAAATTGATAAAGGATTAGTTGTTTGGGGATTGATAAAGGATTAGTTACTTCAGAATTGATAAAGTAATCTTTACTCGTTTGATGTATAATTAGAACTTACATGGTATGAGGGGGACTGAAGTCATTAGTTCCCCCAGGTCATTAGGTACTGAAGACCAAAAAAGTATTAAAACTACGATTGAATTAGCTGTAAATAATTAGTTTATAGACGATTATATAAAGTCTAGATACTTCTATTTTAATTGAAGGTCGTTTTTTTCTTGTTACGACACAGAGTGTAAAAATAGTTATGAAACATACAATTGGATCTTTTATACAAAATGTCTGAGATACCTGTTATAAAACATTTAATTTAATGTCTGGAGTACCTGATATAAAAACATTTAATTTAATGTGTTTTTATATCAGGTACTTCAGACATTAAATTAAATGTTTTTATATCAGGTACTTCAGACATTAAATTAAATGTTTTTATATCAGGTACCTCAGACATTAAATTAAATGTTTTTATATCAGGTACTTCAGATTTTAATTTAATGTCTGAGGTACCTGATATAAAAACATTTAATTTAATGTCTGAAGTACCTGATATAAAAACATTTAATTTAATGCCTGAGGTACCTGATATAAAAACATTTAATTTAATGTCTGAAGTACCTGATATAAAAACATTGAATTTAATGCCTGAGGTACCTAATATAAAAAACATTTAATTTAATGTCTGAAGTACCTGATATAAAAACATTTAATTTGTGTGAAACTTTGTGTGTTTATACAACAGTACAAAACGGAACCTACGGTATTGTTTAGACCCAACAGAAGACGAAACGTTATACTTGTGTGAAACTTTGTGTGTTTATACAACAGTACAAAATGGAACCTACAGTATTGTTTAGACCCGACAGAAGACGAAACGTTATACTGGTGGGATACTTTGTGTGTTTATACAACAGTACAAAACGGAACCTACGGTATTGTTTAGACCCTACATCAGACGAAATGTTATACTTGTGTGAAACTTTGTGTGTTTATACAACAGTACAAAACGGAACCTACGGTATTGTTTAGACCCAACAGAAGACGAAACGTTATACTTGTGTGAAACTTTGTGTGTTTATACAACAGTACAAAATGGAACCTACAGTATTGTTTAGACCCGACAGAAGACGAAACGTTATACTGGTGGGATACTTTGTGTGTTTATACAACAGTACAAAACGGAACCTACGGTATTGTTTAGACCCTACATCAGACGAAACGTTATACTTGTGTGAAACTTTGTGTGTTTATACAACAGTACAAAATGGAACCTACATTATTGTTTAGACCCGACAGAAGACGAAATGTTATCCTGGTATCAAATGTTTTGTGTTTATATAACAGTACAAAATGGAACCTACAGTATTGTTCAGACCCGACAGAAGACGAAACGTTATACTGGTGTGAAACTTTGTGTCTTTATATAACAGTACAAAATGGAACCTACAGTATTGTTCAAACCCAAACCTACAACAACAATTTTAAAGTTTAAACGTTGATGAATATTTTTTCCATAGAAATCAGCGGAACTAAAAGAAAACTACATTTTATAATTTTCGTTCTCAAATACCTGTTTTATGTCAGTGGGTATCAAACTCTTTCGTCCAAGGGGGGGGGGGGGGGCAAAAGACCCGAGAAACACCTACCGGTCCTACCGCACGCGCTTTTGTTTGTCATGAAAAAACACAAACACAAAAACAACTCATAAGTGACTTACATTTTGGACCAGCCATCGGACCTTCACTGACCACACTTTGAGAACCATTGTTTTATGTTTTCATTACCAAATAATTGTAGTGTTATTAGAACGTGTTAATGGACTTACGTGTGTCTAATTGCTATGGCAACATATAAATAAAGTTACGTGTGTCTAATTGCTATGGCAACGTATAAATAAAACTCACGTTTGTCTATTTGCTATGACAACGTATAAATAAACTTACGTGTGTCTAATTGCTATGACAACGTATCAATAAACTTACGTGTGTCTAATTGCTATGGCAACGTATAAATAAAATATACGTGTGTCTAATTGCTATGACAACGTATAAATAAACTTACGTGTGTCTAATTGCTATGACAACGTATAAATAAAACTTACGTGTGTCTAATTGCTATGGCAACGTATAAAAAAACTTACATGTGTCTAATTGCTATGGCAACGTACTCATAAGCTTCATTTTTCATGAAAGCGTTTCACGGTAAGACTGAAAATACAAGTTGCTATGTGTAAATATGTTCTTATAAAAAGAAACGAGAAAACGAACTGTTTTTAACCTGAAAGCATATACATTAGCTTTATTACATATATATATATACATTACAGATTCTCTCACGATTGGTAACAACCTTACAAAGCTGACCGATCTTGGATCAGTCCAAGATATACCAGGAGTCGGCAACCCGCGGCTCTAGGGCTGTGTCCACCGGAGGGGGGGGGGGGGTAGGACGACCC